GGTGTCCCTGTGCTGGGTGACACCGAGGTGTCGCTGAGAGGGTGACATCGGGGTGTCCCTGTGCTGGGTGACACCGAGGTGTCGCTGAGAGGGTGACATCGGGGTGTCCCTGTGCTGGGTGACACCGAGGTGTCGCTGGGAGGGTGACATTGTGGTGTCCCTGTGCTGGGTGACACCGGGGTGTTGCTGGGAGGGTGACATCGGGGTGTCCCTGTGCTGGGTGACACCGAGGTGTCGCTGGGAGGGTGACATTGTGGTGTCCCTGTGCTGGGTGACACCGGGGTGTTGCTGGGAGGGTGACATCGGGGTGTCCCTGTGCTGGGTGACACCGGGGTGTCACTGGGAGGGTGACATCAGGGTGTCCCTACACCAGGTGACACCGGGGTGTCCCTGCGCTGGGTGACAATGGGGGATCCCTACACTGGGTGACACTGGGGTGTCTCTGCGCTGGGTCACACCGGGGCATCACTGTGGGGATGGGGATAGGGTGTTTGTCCAACTGTTGGGGACAGTCAAGACAGTGGCTGAGCTGGGGACAGGTCTGTGACCGGGTGTGACAACAACTTCTGCCTCAGACACCTGAGCAGGCTGTCACTGCGGCCTGAGGGGTGACAGCCCAGCCTGGGGGTGACCCAGCACCCCGACATGGTGACAACTGGGCTTGGGGGGTGACCCAACACCATGACGGGGTGACAGCCCAGCCTGGGGGTGACCCAGCACCCTGACACGGTGACAACTGGGCTTGGGGGGTGACCCAACAGCCTGACAGGGTGACAGCCCAGCCTGGGGGTGACCCAGCACCCTGACACCCCGACAGCCAAGCTTGGGGAGGGTGACCCAACAGCCCAACATGGTGACAGCCCAGCCTAGGGGTGACCCAACAGCCTGATGGGTGACAGTCGAGCTCGGGGGGTGACCCAACACCCTGACACAGTGACAGCCCGGCCAGGTGACAGTGGGGCTTGCACCCCTAAACCTGTTCCCTGGGGGAGGGGGACCACCGAGCCGCCTGTGCCGTAGCACCAAACCCCCCGCAGTGACCATCACTGCCGACTCACGCCACCACCAGTTCAAACCAGTGACTCCCAGTCTGGCCACCCACTTCCCCCAGCCAACAGCCGCCGGGCCAGACCCTCGCTCGGGGCGGGAAGGGTTAAAACCATAGAGCTGAGGGGGAGTGGGCGGGAGCCGGGGGTCCCTCCTGCCCGGGAGGGGTCCCCAAACAGAGGGGGGGGCACTGGGTGCCCCCGTCTTCCCCCCGGGCCCCCCCCCCGCGGCCCCCTCCACCCTCAAACATCCGGGGGGGA